AAGCTGTACGCTCAATCTCGGAGTCAGTGTCACAAACTTTCGTTACCATTTCAATTCGGTTTGCATTTCCTTGGGCAAGCTTGTTCTCGAACAAGTTTAGTCCCGTCACCCGCTCGACGAATATCTCAGCTCCGTCCGGGATTTCAGTGATGTCTTGAGCTTCCACATCTCGCTTATTTCTCTGCCAGACCGACAATCGAAATAAATTGGTCGCTTTCTCATCAAAGGACATCTCTGGAAGTTCCTTCTTCAGCTCGGGTGACAGGGTAGCGAGTTCTCGATCTCCCAACCAGAGATTCCATCCACAAAAAAATGGTTCACGGAAAGCGATGTACATGTCGAGGCTAATGTAAGCCGGCATGGTGTCGGTTCATGGTTGGACGATTCCGTTTCGGCGGTGTCTGTCTTGCCCGCATCACGTAGTATTGCAACGATGGCTGACGCTTTCTCGAAGGCTGGAAGCCGTTGTTCCTCCCTGCGTTTAATACGACTTTGCAGTAGCTCGGTGAGACCCATTTCTCTTGACGGACAAATCAAAAGTGGATCTCTGAAATGCCCCAATATTATCGTGTCGCTCGTTCTTGTTGCATACTATTTTTATCATCTGTTTGCTGAACTAGGCTGCATATTCGTAAAGGGGACAACAGTATTAATGTGTGTCCGGATTACATAGTTCGTTTGCTTGGCCTCCCACCCGTCTTTCGTGGGCACAAGATCCTACTTTCGATTTTTCCCGCACCACGTATTGTAGGTGTTGTTGGCAGTGAGCAGTAATTTTGGATGGTGTTTTGTCATCGTCACTGTTGAAGTATTATACATTCGAAAAAAACTCTAAGCGTCTGACGTATAAACGCTTAGGTCGTGTTTGAGTTGAAAAGAGCTGTTTCGCTAAAGCTGCTATATGTATTGAAACAGTTAAGAAAGAAAAGGGTACTGAAACAGAACTGAAAAAGCGAGTGCCGCGTCTGCGAGAGCAACTTGATTGGTACCGTAAAAACAACCATTTGTACGAACAAATTGACGAAATTCCTAACTGGGAGACGACAATGACCACGATGTGCACTTGGATAGTAGTTGATTACTGCGAGAGTGACCAGGCTGCTGTGGATGTTAATAGCAGTTTGCGTCATGCTTCACGGGGTTTACACATTCAAAACTCGCAGTCAACCCCACAGAAGCAAACTATCCGGAGGCAAAACCTGCAACCACCGGATTTGCAACGTGCTGATGAGTCATCGACTGAAGAGAATTTGCCGGACTGCGATTCAACCGTTGGTGACGTGGTACAAAATACAATTTCTGCGACTAGTGGATTTGAAGTTTGTGGAGCGAGTGCCGGTGTCTCCGCAAGGTCTCGTAGCACTGATGCATTACGGCCATTTGTTCAACAATGTCATGATGAACTTGACCTCGCAACCCGGAGACACAATGCTCCGACCCCAGCACATATCGACGTATCGGAGGAAGACGAGAGTTGTTAGCAAGCAGCAATTGGTGTGATAAGCGATTTTAACCCTATCGACGTTCCCACGGGAATTCAAATGGTATTGAAGGCAAAACCAC